GCCGCCTTTTCAAGTTTTCAACTTGAATCCTCCTTTGGTTTCAAGACGTCATTCAGAATTTACATCTTGAACCCTCCTTTGTTATTTTTCTCTATCATGCATTAATTACACTATTTTCTACAAATAAAGATTAATCCTGATGGGCGGGATGAAATCTGAAGATAGTCTCTTCTGTTCAGAAATCCATGTATGATTAGAAGGGACTTTTAAGGCACGTAACGTAGGTCATGGTCCATGGTTATGAAAGAAATGGATAAAAGGCCCAAACAAGTGTTTAAGGGTGATTGAACCAAGGATTAATTCATTCTGATGTCTTTGATCACAGCTTGCTCAATTTGAATCTGCTCGTATGTGTCTCTCTCTTGATGCTCCATGATCTTCGAGTAGAGTGATGCAATAATTCAGAAATGATTGTGCTTGATCAATCACATTTGATGCTCTATGATCTTCGAGTGAAGTGATTCAGTGATTCGGAAATGATTGTGCTTGATCAATCTCATAGTTTAAATCTCGATGAGTCGTTTGAATCGAGAGAATCTTTGCATATGTATATTGTCTTCTTTTTTCTTCAATTTTCCTTTTTTCTTTTTTATTTTCTCTTTGCTTTTTTCTCTTTTTTCTTTTTGTTCTGATTGAAGTTTTGCAGTTGGCATTTGGTTCACCTTTCGGTACCTCATCTGAATCAATGTCTTCACTTATGCGAGCAGATTTTCTTCATCTTGCCCCCCAGTGTGGAGGGTGATCCTTGGTTAGGGTTGAATGAGAAGAAAAATACTATAGGCTCAAAAGGGGACATAAGGGATATATATTTTCTCCTGTTGGGAAGGGGTAAAGAAAGAAAGCCGTTCATCATTTCATACATGGAAGTCCTCACAGAAGAGGTATCCCCAGGGGGATAGATTTTCAGGATTATTTTTATTCACATGAAAACAATGCAATTAATGCATGGTAGAATTATTCCGAGTGAATTCTTCTTTCTGCTTCTTGCCCCCAACATGTCTCAATATTCATGCTCCTTGCGAGATGCCCCAAATTGTGTCTTAGAAGAAGGCTCATGTTCAAATGAACAACTCAATGCCTTGGGTTTTAATGGCATAAAAATGTCAATTTTGAGTCTAAAAAGACAATGGTGTGACTTTATTTGACTCAAAGAAAGGTATGGATGTATCAAAAGATAAAGGCAATGTTTAAAAGTTTCAAAGGGGGTAATGTCAAAATTTGGTTTTTTTGGTAATGACCATGAGTTATTTTGGGTAAAGAATTAAGGTATTTGATTTTGGGGTTTGAGACAGGATAAGAAAGGTCTAATCTTGCCATATGTCAAAAATCTATAATTCTTAAAGAATTAAAAGAATCCTTAATTCATTTAATATTCGAAGAACTAAAGATTAAAATTTGTTCAATTGCTCACCTTAGAAAGTAGCATAAATTCAATCGTTTAAAAGACTAAGCAAAAGATCAAAGACGTGTTCAAACAAAACAATCCTCTAGGTGCAAATGGTATGTGCAATTCCCCCTTCTTCAGCTGTCCGTGCCCCTGAACCCATCAGGTTTTGGATCTCGCGCTTCAGCGCCTTATAGTTCTCAAATAAATGTTTGGAGCATCCTATGTGGCAACTACAAACAGCTTCAACATCGTAGCCCTTAGGATATGTGGACTATTTTCTCAGATCATCTTGGCAGGCTTAGTCGTACAACCAGCTGATCGAACTCATTCGTTATGATTTCAGTTTTTTCCTTTTGATTTTACAATCTTGCTTCCATGTGGTGTCATGTGGTTAAAACCACTTCATCGAATTCTCCATGAAGAAATTTCATGTTTATGAAAATGCTTAAAAACGAAATGTCGATGCAAAATGCAAAAATGCATGAAATGTTTAAGGCATTGATCCAAAAACATGTCTGTTATTGTAAATAACCTTTATTGGGACAAATTTTTTTTATCTTTTAAGAGACAATAAACATATTTAAAGGTACATCCAGACTAAATCCTCTAGTCCCTGAACAGGTTGACTAGTCATTTGCCTTCGTCTTTCACCGGTTGAATAACCTGTTGAACTACTCCGGCCTCTCTGGATGAACCGTGAAAATGTTGAGTTGTTTTTTTGAACTGGTTCCCAAAAAGTGTTGAATGACTGCATCTCTGGCTTTCATCCTTTGCTGAATCGGAAATTCAATTGAAATCCTCCATCAAAGGGATTATCCAAATTTCATTTGCTTGTTTCTTGAATTTGTCGACAGTGGCTTGCCATCTTTGTTCTTGTTGTCTTTGAATGGACTCTCGAGGTCAGTAACCTTTTTCTCGTCTTGCCCCTGCCACCTTTGTCAACCCATTTTTAAAAAGTTAACTTTTGATGTACTTGATTGTGGGCACCATGTCTTCTTGATCGAATGTGACACACAGTTATCTTGCAAATTGTCCTCATTTTCTTTCTGAGTCTTTTCTGACCATAGCCGGACCCCTGCATTTTTCATCTCTTGTATTTCAACCCCTTTGTCCATTAATGAAAATTATTTATGGTTAACGAACACATTTTTTTTGTGTGGATCAACACCTCTTTTGAATGATGCAGATCATGGAAATAAAATAAAAGAGAGAAAAATTGAAAAGAGTTAGTAAGGTAAAGATAATAATAATGAAAATTAAAGGTCCTACCCCACATGATATCTACCCCACATGCTTTAATTCCTACCCGGACATGATCTCTATCCCGCATGCTAATTCCATACAAATCCTAACCGCATATTTATCTAGTTCGCATGCTTTGAATAGAAAGTAAAACATGAAACAAAGCAGCCTAGGGTTTGGAACGAGGTTTTTGGGGTGGGCTCTAATTCTCCATAGCCTCCCGGTTTAGGTTCGAAAAAAGGTAACCGAGTTCTCCTTGCTGGTGCCCCCTTGGGCTTGCCAGACCCTTAGTCCTAAGCCCATTACAAGCTCGTGTGGACTAAGTTAAACTCGAGAGAAAACATTCCTTTATGTCCGCACGGTGAATAAATTCACACGAAGACATAAGGTATATGAATCCTGAAGGTTACTTTCTAGGCCTGCACGGAGAATAAATTCTCACGAAGGCGTCGCTTTCACCCTACTTAAATAGGGTTCAGAGCTCGGGTATAGAGCCTTAGATGAAAAACTTTGAAAATCTGAAATCATTGAAAAAACGTTAGTACAACTATTTATTTGAAAAAAAATAATCAAAGATAAATAATTGGAATCGAATAAATAAATTAAAATTTAAACTTGTAATTTTCGCTAAAAAAGACAACCGAAAATTAATTTCGGCTTGACTCACTTACCTTTCCCCAGCGGAGTCGCCAAGCTGTCGTAACCGTCTTTCGGTTGGGCCCTGAAATTGGGCTTCGACTTGAAAATTGTGGATTGGAGTCGCCACCGACCATTTTAAAACGAATTTAGGTGGGTCGGACACCATCTTACCTGATCTGCGTTTATACCAGAAATGTGTCGGGTTCGGGAGTCGGTTACAGTCAAGGAAGGATTAGCACCATTGAACTGCCCTTTCGGTACCAATTAATTTGTCGGTTGTCTTAGTTGCGAAAATTCAAAATTTAAATTAAAATTTAACAGACTCGATTCAAATTACTTACAATTGATTGATTTGAATACCCTTAAAAGATAAAAAACGTTTGACTCATATCGAAGTATAAAATCGAATTAGGATAGCAAGTGTGCAAATGTGATAATAATAAATAAAATAAGAAAAAATGGAAAATAACAAAACACGTAAAAACTAATAAAAATAAACAAAATGAATAAAATGTTAAAAAACAAAGACACATATAAAGGAAAAAATTAATGGAGTAAAAAAATAAAAAAAAGGTAAAAGAAAATAAAAAGGAATAAAAATAATATTTACATATAAAGTAATATTTACTAAAACAAGTAAAAATAATAAATATATAATACTAAGTAAAACAAATAAAAAATAAAAGATATACATGATATTAAGAAAAAAATAATAGAAAAAATAAAATAAAGTAAAAATATAATATATATATATATATATAAATAAATAAAAATAAAAATAGAATATTAAGAAAATATATATAAAAACGTATAAAATATAATATTAAGAAAAAATATATACATAGTAAATGGAGAAAAATTAATAAATCTATACATACATATAATATATATATATAATAATATAAGATATATATAATAAAAATAATATAATATAAATAAAAAAGAGGAATATAGTAAATAAATAAATAAAAATATAATTAAAAATATATATATATAGGGGACGAAATTAATATAAAAGTAAAATTAAAGGGTAAATTTCAAGGTAAATTAAAGATTAAGATTGACTTAGGGGGAATATTAAATACTTCAAAAAAAAAATGAACATGTATCGGGAGTAGATCTAGGTTCGAAACTTCGAAACTCCACTCCTTTTTGGTCATCGACGCAACCCACGCTTTGGGTTATTCAAACCAAATCTCAAGAAAAATAACATGCACATGCGAGAAATGAACGAATCAATGTAAAAAAAAAGATGCTACCTTTTATTTCCTTTTCGAATCGTTTACAATAGCTTTGCCTTTGTATTTTTTCGTGCTTTCCTCTGTATCTTGTATGTAAATCGTGTCTTACAAATGGGGAGTATTACATGTATTTATAGTGAAAAAAACTAACTATTTTTAGAATCTTATTAACAATAGAATCCTAATGCAACTAGACTCCTTGCTCAGTTGTTGCACGTTTATTGGTGTGGTTGTTGCTTTAAAAGATATGATGGTAGAAGAGTCATCTTAGGAAATAACTCTTGCTAGTTCTATCTTTTAAGAAAAATGATGTCTACAAGAACATGCTTAGTGGCATTCCCATTATTAATAAATGTTTGATTTCTGATGTTATACGCACCGGAACTGTTACACAGGTTGCCGAAACTGGCCCACCTCATAAGCTTTTCCTTCATATAAAACCTGCAAGTGCTCAACAATCACAGCAAAACATTGCAATTCTCAACCCTTAATCACCCTCAGACATTAACCTCAGAACTTAGAACCATGTTTCCTGGTGACCTCATTGGGCTTCATTACCTGGCACCAGAAAACCAAATCCTGATTCCAGACAACCTTAACACGATCCAAAACACAATCCCAGCTTTCTGTTTCGACAGATTCTCAAACAGCCAATCCAATTCCCAACACACCCCAGCGGTTCATGAGTTCGTTGCACAGTCCTTGTGTACTTCTACTTCAGATGAAGCTGAAGAACATCAGCCGAGCATGATCGTCGATGTGCGGAAACAACGGAGGTTGATATCGAATCGGGAATCCGCTCGTCGGTCGAGGATGCGGAAACAGAAGCACCTTGATGAACTCTGGTCGCAGGTAATTAGGCTTCGGAATGAGAACCAGAATCTCACAGGCAAATTAAACCATGTATCAGAGTACCATGACCAAGTTGTTCGAGAAAATGCAAGGCTCAAGGAAGAAGCCTCCGAACTTCGTCGAATGGCAATCGATATAGCGATCGGCAGCCCGGCCGCTTTCACTCGCATTGACGGAGCTGGAAGAGGTTCCCTGCAACACTGCTTACCTGAGAGCTGAGACGTCAACAAACCAATCCATTGCTAACTCTGTAGATTTGCTTCATTGAGATGCCATAAATAAACAATCCCTATAGTTTGAGCTGTACTAGATTAGAAATCAAACCGCAATAACATCTTTTGATCATTTTATATACTTTGAAAACAACTGTTTTTGCAGGTCTTCTCGCCGCATACTAATCCATCAGAACCAAATTTAACAATCAATCATGTCTTTCTTCCCCCATTAGTCGTTTTATCAATCACTCCAAATTTGGTTACAGAAATTTCACTTGAGAAATGAATTAGACAATGAACAGTAAATAGCACTGAGAAATAATGGTGGAGGTGGCTGGTTTTAGTGGCTTCACCGTTCAGAACAATTACTATATACCAAGAAAAATCATTTGAAAGGAAAAAAAAAAAAAACCCTATCCGCTAATGTAATTCAAAGTAATAATTTTCAGCTTGTTGATCAATGGAAAAACATCAAAAGCAGTTTATAACATAAAAAGATGTGATAACTTTTGTAATCTGTAAAAATTACCGAGAAAGTAAAGAATGGAATTAAATTACAGAAGAAAAAAACATGTACATAAAAGTGAATGTAAAATTTTATATTAAAAACAAATTATTCTTAAAAATATAAAAATATTTAAAATATAAAAAAATTTAAAAATTTAAAGTAAACAATCACTCCACTAACACCTGTTAATTCATCCCTACTTAAAAAATCTTTTTCGCCGCTTTGGTTAGAACTATTATTCTTGATAATTTTTCTCATTCACTCTACACAACAATAAAATTGTCTTATCATCCTCTATACTTCTATTAGAATAAATATTTTTAAATTAATTTTAAAACTTATGAGACTTCAACACAAAAACTTTTGTTTTGGGTTTAGGATTTTGTTTTGGGTTTAAGAGAATTAGGGTGGTCATCTAAAAATCTAAATAGTAAAAAAAATTAAAAATAATTTATCATAAAACTAAATTTATCGGATAACCATCAATAAAATTGAAATAATAAAAATTGAAATATTGACTTGATTTGAAATTAATTTTAAAAGAAATAAAGATGAAATAAAAGCATATTTTGATATCACGTATGTCTTGAATAACTGTGGGTGGTGGTTAAATAATGGGTACATGTTGACGAAAACGGGTAAAGAAAACGAAAGAACACGAGAATTTTACGAGGTTCGGCAATGTGCTTACGTCCTCGGTGCCTAGGCGGCGCTAGAAGTTTTATTCAATGATTTTTTAGGTCTAGGTTACATCTCTGTTACATCTCTATTTATAATAGAAAACCCTGGTACATAATTACAAAATCAACCCTGTACCGTACCGCGGGGGCTGCGCCCCCACACCCCCAACCCACATAATTCGTAACCCCACAACGAGACTTTTTATGAGCCATACATAACAAATCTCCACCTTGGCGAATATCCTGCCCCTTGGAAACTTCAATGTGGGTTGGGTTACCTTGCTTCTTTAACAACTCGAAACATTCAACAAGTCCAAGCAATGCTTGAACTTGTCTGTCGTAACTGGCTTGGTGAACATATCAGCGGCATTCTCATCAGTATGTACCTTCTGAAACAAAACCTCTCCAGATGCAACCAACTCTCTGATCTTGTGGAACCTTACATCAATATGTTTAATTCTAGCACGATACACCTGATTCTTAGCCAAGTGAATAGCACTTTGATTATCACAAAGCAACTGAACTCCACCTTGTTGAACACCCAACTCCTTCACTAAACCAGTAAGCCATAAAGCTTCTTTTGCAGCTTCAGCCGCTGCCATGTATTCAGCTTCAGTTGTAGATAGTGCCACGACAGATTGAACAGTAGACTTCCAGCAAATAGGCCCTCCACCAAGAGTAAACACATACCCTGTCGTAGATCTTCTATTATCCAAGTCACCTGCATAATCTGAATCCACATATCCTACAACCAAAGGATTATCCCGCTGACTCCCAAAAACAATTCCATGTCCCACAGTACCCTTTAAGTACCGAAAGATCCACTTGACTGCATCCCAATGTTGCTTACCAGGTTTAGACATGTACTTACAAACTTGACTAACAACATGAGCTAAATCAGGACGAGTACATACCATCGCATACATCAAGCAGCCAACAGCATTAGAATACGGAACCTTTGCCATATTTTCAGCTTCCTTATCTGTCTTAGGGCACTGTTCTGATGAGAGCTTAAAGTGATTCGCCAATGGAATGCTAACTGGTTTCGCGCTGCTCATCGCAAACCTTTCTAGCATTTTCTCAACATAACCCCGTTGAGATAGCTGCAGTTTCCTTGAGTCTCTGTCCCTGCAAATTTCCATTCCAAGAATTTTCTTTGCAGCACCTAAATCTTTCATATCAAATTCCTGACTCAATAAAGTTTTCAAACCGATAACATCATCCATGTTCTTCGCAGCAATCAACATATCATCAACATACAGTAATAGAAAAATAAAAGAACCATCATCAAGGCTCTTAACATAGACACAACAATCATACTCACATCGGTTGTAGCCAATCTTGATCATATAGGAGTCAAACCGTTTATACCACTGTCTCGGAGACTGTTTTAACCCGTACAAAGATTTCTTCAATCTGCAAACTAAATGCTCGTTTCCAGGTTGAGTGAAACCTTCAGGTTGCCGCATGTAGATCTGCTCCTCTAAATCACCATGCAAAAAAGCAGTTTTAACATCCATCTGCTCTAAATGCAAATCCCAACTAGCCACCAATGCAAGTACTGCTCGGATTGAAGTGTGCCTGACCACAGGAGAAAAGATTTCATCATAATCAACTCCTTTCTGCTGTGAAAAACCCTTCGCTACCAAACGAGCCTTGAACTTCTCCCCCTCTTTTTCTGTTACTGCTGGTTTCTTCTTATACACCCATTTGCAACCAATCGGCTTCTTACCCTCAGGAAGGGGAACTAACTCCCATGTGCGATTGTGATTCAAAGACTCCATCTCCTCAACCATGGCTGCCATCCACTTGTCGTTTTCCTGACTAGTAACGGTATCATGAAAAGTAACTGGATCATCACTGCTAACAGTAAGTGCAAAAGATACCAAGTCTTCAAAACCCAATCTGTTCGGAGGCTTTATATTCGTCCGTCTCACCCTGTCTCTGGCGAGACTATAATCCTGCAAATCATCCGTAGTGGAACCACCAGAAGTCGGTTGAGAAGTTTATGGTTTCTCAACTGGAAACTGCTCGAAATCTACCACTGTCGTGTCTTGCTTCTGCTGCAACATAGACTGTTCATCAAAAACGACATCTCTACTAATCACAACTTTCTTCGCAACTGGATCCCAGAACTTGAATCCTTTGACACCTTTCTTGTAACCCAGAAAAATGCACTCCTTCGATTTTGCATCAAGTTTGGATCTCTCATCAGCAGGTACATGCACATAAGCAGGACAACCAAAAATCCGTAAGTTATCAAAACTAACATCATGACCAGTCCATACCTCTTCTGCAACTTTCCCAGCCAGCGATGCCCTTGGCGATCTGTTGATAAGGTAACACGCCATGTTAACAGCCTCAGCCCAGAAGTGTTTGGGAAGCCCCGCATTCAACCGCAAACATCTGGCTCTTTCATTCAACGACCTGTTCATTCGTTCCGCAACACCATTCTGTTGTGGTGTCTTGCGCACTGTAAAATGCCTCTGAATCCCATGCTCCTTACAGAATTGTAGGAACTGTGAATCTGTGTACTCCGTACCATTATCAGACCGCAAACACTTGATTTTTCGTCCTGTTTGGTTTTCTACCTCAGCTTTCCACAACTTGAACTTCTCAAAAACTTCAGATTTCTGTTTCAAAAAATACACCCAAACTTTCCGTGAAAAATCATCAATAAAAGTAACATAGTACCTAGATCCACCCAAAGACGATGTCGTGGAAGGCCCCCATACATCAGAATGCACATAATCAAGAATCCCTTGAGTTGTGTGCTTCGCAGTCTTGAAACGGACTTTAGTCTGTTTACCAAGAACACAATACTTGCAAAAATCGAGCTTACAGCTTTTGACACCATGCAACAAGTTTCTCTTGTGTAATTCTGCCATACCACGTTCACTAAGATGAGCAAGGTGCATATGCCACAATTTTGTCGTATCATCACAGGACTCAACAGAGTGAACTCCACCTGCAACGGTACTCCCTAACAATCTGTAGATATTCCCTGCAGTCATCTTGCCTTTCATCACAGTCAATGCTCCTTTAACAATCCGAATGGTTTCCCTATCCTCGTCAGCCTTAGGGATAAAACCATTCTTGTGCAAAGTGCCCAAGGAAATCAAATTCTTCTTCAAGTCTGGGATATGTCGAACACCACTCAACGTCCGAACGGAGCCATCGTGCATCTTAATTCTGACATCACCAATACCAACAATATTGCAACATCGATCATCACCCAAATAAACCGAACCAGAATTAACCGGCCTGTATGTCGAAAACCATTCCCTATTTGGCGTGATGTGATAAGAACATCCAGAATCAAGAATCCAAGCATCCGTCAATTGTGTCGTTGAAATAGAAAGCATATCACCCTCACTGCAATCAGAAGTATCATCCTCGACCACGTTCACAGACTTGGATGAGCCATCACGCTTCTCATCGGTCTGCTTTTTCAACTTCGGACAGTCTCGCTTCATATGTCCCGCCTCCTTGCACTTGTAACAGTGAATCGTCTTCTTATCCCTGGATTTGGATCTGGAATTCCGCTTCCCGAACCCTGCCTTCTCTGGCTTCCGTCCACGATCTCGATTACCCTTGACATATAAGCTATCGGCTTGAGAGCTTTCCCCTGCATTCTGCTTCCGCTGGTTGTGAGCCAACAAGGCTGCAGTAATCTCCTCAACGTTGATAGTCTCTTTCCCATATGTAAGAGTAGTCACCATGTGTTCGTAAGAGGAAGGCAACGAACACAATAGAATCATCGCTCTGTCTTCATCTTCAATTTTCACATCAAGCCGAGCCAGATCAGAAACGATTTGATTGAAGACATTCACGTGTTGCGCCAAATCGTGATCGTCCTGCATCTTCAGCCCATACAGCCGCTGCTTCA